TTTACATACAATACGTGATAGTTATGCTAGAAACAATAGGTGTGAAGGTAAAAATTACAAAGGAGAGTATACTATTAATTAAAACTGCATAGGTGTGAATACATATCATATATATAACTAGCTCTACACTTTATGTGTATTGAGCACTCTTTAATGGGGATCAGCTACTTCCTCATACGATTAAAATTKTTGATATATAACACGCGCTCTGATTGGCTGACGCAGAGGACAGAGACACGGCTTACCGGCAAAATTTTCTTTTCGCTCGAACAATTTTATAAAAGAAATATAAAACGGCCGCTTGTGTCTCTGTCCTCTGGTATAAACACGGTGGGAGTTGAAAAACACTCGAGAAGCTGAAACACTCGCTACGCTCGTGGTCCTAAGCTTGCTTCTCTCGTGTTTTTCGAACTCCCACCGTGTTTATATCAGAGGACAGAGACACGCGCGTCGTTTTATATTCATTCATATTATCGTTTGCATATGGTGATAGGTGTATCTATTTATACGCGCGCTCAGTTAAAGGGGGGAGGGGGGGCTTAAAAAACTTCTGCAGGGGAAATGGTGAGTTCAAGTACTCCCGAAACGGCTGAAAAATTAGCCGTGAGTCGTGAAAATGAGAAAAAAATTAGCCGCGAGGCGTGAAAAAGCCAAATTTGTAGTCGTGAGTCGTGATGCTTATTTGATGAGCCAATCAGAGAGCTAGCGAGAGAAATAGGTGGTAACGTACATCATGGCAACGCGTTAGCCGAATATCTCCACGTCTTATCAGTATCGTCTGTGTGCTTTGTTTATTGGACGACTACTAATTTTCGCATGGTTGAAAGGTGATTAAGATGGCTCCAAAATTGTCGATCCTCTGTCTCCATDACAGCCTTCCAGATCACACTAGTGCATGGTTTACCCTGTAGYCTAGGTTTACCCAGGGTTTCATTTAATAATATATAATTTCATGACTACTAAAATAATTATAAAACAATTTTCCAAACGGCAATTTGTTTGTGGTGGTCAAGCAATTATATTTACGTGCATAACATTTGCAATTGTGTAAAATTTGTGGACGCATTCAATTTTCCAATTAAAAAAAACCCAGAGTGTTTCAAGGGAAAAAATTATATTCAATTGATTACAAAAGAAATATAAAAAGGTTCAAACTGGCTAGATTGTATTGAGAAATTAAAAAAAAAAAATACTCAGCTTTGTTTCTTTTACGTTGGTTTTAATTTTCCGAGCTTTCGGGCAACTTGTCCATCATCAGGGCAAAATGAAATTACAATTGCGTACGTGAGGATACAAATGTAAACAAAACACTATGGTAACATAACTTAATAGCGCGCAA